AGTAGTAGTAGTAGTAGTATAGTTGTTGTTATATCAGTAGTAGTGCTGGACACCTGCGGCACACACAACACTACTAGCCCCAAAACCCTATGGCCTTACCCTGCATTTAAACCATTAGCCCACGACTAATATTGACAGACTCCAATCTTTAACTATGTCGGGCTCGGATACATAACTGGGCGGGCTTGGGGTTTTAGACGGGGAGGCAGTCGATCTACATAATCAGGTGAGGCTCTTGGCACGTAGCACATAATTGCCCAGCAGAACATCCTGCTTCGTGATATCAGCATACGTCTTCAACAGGTCGTCATTGAACGACCTTGTCGCAGCTTGGCATAGGCTAATTGTACTTGTGTATCTGGGACCTCGGGTTTTAGTTAAGGACAATTCAGGGTAGGGGCTGATCCGGCACGGTGTGGATGGCTTCGGCCTGCTTCTGCGCAAGCTTCTCGTAGTGCTTCCTCATGTTCGTCAGAATCAAGTCCATCTGCTGACGAAGCCTGTGTCGAGTGGGAGGCGGTGGTACTGTCGGGGTTGAGAGGTTGACCCAGGCTTAGTTTATATAATATTATATATATATATATATATAAGTCGATCAGGATTTAGGGTTTTAGTTGAGGCAGCATCATTTATTAAAATTGGATTGTATCATTTTATGAGACATCTTGAAAACTACTTATCCCAGCCCCCAAAGCTCTAAGTCTCTATAAGATCTTTCAGGGTTCCCTAAATAGTAGCATTAGAACTGCCACCCAGAAACGACTTCGCACGGGGATTGCTGCAATCCAATGTCTCCTGCATTCGATGACACATGCGGTTCGCAGCTAACAGTGTAAAGGCAAGACACAAAATCATGAGGAACCCGATCGAATCTCCAGCTGGTCTTCGCAGCTGTCAATCTTCCGGCCCAGCACCTCCACAAAGTTGGCCAGGATAGACACTGGCGACTCATTCTGAGACACGGTAGGGAAGATGATCCTCGGAACGGAGGCAATATACGTGAACACAGAGCCAAGCTGCATGGTATATATGATTCACTGGTACCCATTGCCTAAACCAAGGTACTTGAAAGAGGCGGACTGGCCAACCGTCACGGCTGCACCGCCGCTGCTGGAAGCCGAGGCCCCCATGTTCTGAAGGAGCTCTTGATCGGAAGCAGTGATAGATGGCATGTCCGGGGTGAGAAGGAACCCCGACTCATCCTGCAAGCAGCATATATCCCCCCCATCGACTTATTAATTAGTTATACTAGCCAACAGGATACAGGCACACCCAGCCTCAACCTCAATCGAGCCATTGAGCTCTGTCGTCTGCCCGGTCTCGTCGAGCAGCTCGAATGTCTCTGAGAGCACGAGAAAGGCTTCTTCCTCCCCGTGCACACTGTTGACCCGGAGCAGCTTCTTTTCCCCAGCCCAGCGGAAAGCATTATCCACCATCTTCCTTAAAAGAGAGCAAATGTAGGTGGGAACTATTGGCACAAAAGAAAGCTAGAGTTTTGGATTACGTATAAGGCTCTTGGACCACCCCGCAATCGTGGTCAGGTAGTGCCGGGTGTACCACCCTCCCTTGCGGAAGTTGGCTTTGGAGCTTTTGTTGTACTTGCGTACCGCGATTTCCATCTGCCCGAACGATCCACATGACTTGAAAAGCTCTCGCAGCTTGTCTCCTTATGGGGTCGGTCGAGCACATGAACTTAAGATTTGGGTAGTGACCGCACACGACATGACTACATATATGTGATGCAGACCGGAAGCGCCCAGATTCCGTCTTGTACATTGCAAGGGCCTCCGGGGAGCATTTCAGTGACCCCGAAGATTTCGGCGTGAAATACCGCCGAAGCCTCATTCGATCATTCGATCATCAGAACACACTGACCTGGATTCAATACTGCTGCAACTAAGAAGCTTCCAGTATGTCGGGCTCTGGGGTCTCTTCGAGCGCTTCGAGGATCTGCTATCGTCAGTGGAGGGGGCCTCAAATTAGCAAACACATATGTGGCCAGACACATATAGTGCACTAGCAGCAGTTGTGCAGCCTGGCCTCAGCAGAGCCATCGGGGCTAGGCAGTTCACGGCTTCGGCTGCGCTTGGTGCTAGGGGTTTTGGGCAAGTCCTTCCAACCCTTGGCTCCTGCAGGGACGTCTGCGCAACTGCCTGGCATTGGGGCTGCTGGAGGCGTGGCAGCAAGTACAGACTTGGGGGACCGGCTCGGCTTGACCACAGCATGGCCGGGAGTTCCATGGGGCACGGTCTCACCCAGTTTCAGGGTTTCAGGTTCCGATGGTTCCTTTTGGGCATCCTGGCTGCTTGCCCGGACACTGCCCAGGCTGGCAGGGTGTTTCCCGGCAATCACAGGATTCTCCACCGGCATCGCCATGCATGGGGCACCTCGTGACCCGGACATCGAAACTATATCAAGATTCATCAAGTACCAGAAAACCCAAGTTAAACCCCGGGCCTCATCAATACCCTCGCAAAGTTCCAAGCTGAAGACACTTGTTGAGCTTATAAGTAGTACTAGGTTGTTAATGAGTTGCAATCGTACATATATACATATTTATAACGAATGACATATCCTGCAACTATGTTTCTGTATAAATACTGCATACATATTGAACCCCGCTAACAATATACATGCTATAGAAAGATGAGTTAACATCTTCGAATGGTACTAGCTGGAGGTTTGGGTTTATAAAGGTGTCGGGCTGTAGGGTTTAAATTATGGAGTTTGGCTTCGGAGGTTCGGGTTGGGGAATCAGGAGGTGGCTTGGATCCGTATACTATATTTTGTATGTCAACCAACGTACGTACCACACACGCTTTGGCCGATACGCTTGTCGATATCTATTCCTGCATACTCCTCTCCCTGCCTTTGGGTCTCTGTCTCACTCTCTCACTCTCGCTCTCTCCCTCCCTCCTCCCGCCCTCGCTCGCTCGCTCACTCACACACACACACACTTACACACACACACTCCCTCTCTCTCTCTCTCTCTCTCTCTCTCTCTCTCCGTGTCCTATATCTATATGGATTGATATAGATTCTGCTGGCACAAGATAAGCACAAAACCTCCATTAAGCAGCACTAAGCCAAAATCCAACACCGCCTCACCCTAGACAGCTTTACGGTTTATCAGGGGTTTATACAGGATTTAGGACCTCACTTGAATTTAACCCCTAGGAGGGTTTCAAAGGTTTGGGGGTTTAGGGCATAGGGGTTAATGATGTCAAAGACCAAATATCTGTTCGGGGACACATCCACAGGAGGCGAGGGTTTGTAGGTGCCTGTTTACAAGCATATAAATATTTAAGGATGGGGCCAGGGTTTTTAGATTGCAGCTAGTGAATCTGATAGCTCATATAACTAGATCGAACTCATGTACGATAAGCTACCTGGAGCAAAGACACCCGAAGGAAGCCTAATAGTCCATGTGGTCGAACAGTATTGAGACTTCTACACATCCCTTTTCCGAGACTTGGGGTACTTCGCATGCAGTGGTAGGAATATGTAACCATTATGTTGTTAAGCCACAGGCCTATGCATCATCGAAACCGACCTTGATGAGCCCTAACAGGTTTGCAGGTATAAGGCGAAATGTGTTGCAGGGGAATCATCATTGACAATTGTGACAGGATGCAGCTCTAATTGCGAGCTAGTTTCGGGGGTGAATATATGTAGTGAAGTGCACTGTGCAGGCATAGGTTATATTAAGATTGTTCAACCATATTGAGAGACACACGGGCTTAACTCATATAAATATCAAACTATATAAGACCTACCAGCTATATGGATGTTGGGATAAGAACTTGAAGGCCCATGATTTGGAACCCCTACATCTCATCCCAAATCACAAAAACCCAAGATTATAGAACCCTGCCTGGCACAGATCCGTCCAACGATGCACTGCTGGGCCGCTTCTGCAAAGCACTGTGAAGCTGGGCAATGCGTGCCCGGGCAGCCTCAGCATATGGATTGGTATGATGGTAGGCTTGATTGAGTTCACAGGATCTTGCATGGGTAGTACATTATAAGATTGCTTCGGCCTAATTAGATAAGTGACCTCGATCTTGGCCTGGAGATCGGTGGCCCGGGGTGCACTAGTGTTGTCCATTTCGGCCAGCAAAGGGATGCCTGCAACTAAAGTTTCACACGACCAAAGCCTAGAGGCCATGTGTTGCCAGCACCTGGCAAAAAGCTTGAGCAACTAGTATACAGTTCAGAAGAAGTCACACACATACAGGCGGCAAAGGCACCTCTTCTTTATCCTGTCGTGCAAAATATGGGATATTTTTGTCTCGGACAGCCGGTGCTTGCATACCCCACGATTACGAATTGGGCTTGGCTTGGGTGCTTCAGGGGCCTGCAGGCAAAAGCGCTCATGATAAGTAGAAAGTGTACGAGGACTTCGGGCAGTTCTTAAATATGCGCCCGTTTGCGCGGAAATGCGCCCGGATAGCGGGAATATGCGCCCGGAATGCGGGTTGGATTTCTGCCCGATACCCCTGGAAACCCAAAACAGCACGCAAATAGTTAAAATTGCTCAAGCCTCTCCTTTTGCCTCTAGGCAAGAGGAGACTGCTGCCAGCTCCTGGCGGAGCTCATCGGATCCCAGCGCCTCGGGGACCAGGGGTTTCCCTTCTATTTGTCCTTTTAGACCAACCCTGGGGCTTCAGGTGGGGAGTTTCGGCCCTGGCCGGGCGGGGTTCCTTATAAGCACTAGGAACACCTGCCAAATTGTGTTTGAACCCAATCGGAAATCCCAAGCCCAAATCATATCTATAGGCACCATACTTTAATATTGTAGACTTCAAAACCCGGCCTGAGTCCCCAAATCCTATAATTCATTGAAATTAGGAAAATCGCTGCAGCAGATGCTACCGATCATCTGGCCCCAAACCCTCTACGGTTTAGGGGAAGGAGGTCGAATTTCGGGTTTCAATTGATATAATTATGGTCTAGGAAGGTTTAGGGCTATATAAGGTTTAGGGTTTTAGGGTTTATGGGTTTAGTCTGTCATACAGCTTATAATTCGGGGTCTCTCGGGTTTTAGGGATCTCGGGTTTGAGATCATATATCTATGAATATGTGTATATATATATATATATATGTATATATGCATATGCATATGCATATGCATGCATGTATGTATGTATGTATGTATGTATGTATGTATGTATGTATGTATGTGTTATGTATGTGTGTGTGTGTGTGTGTTTGATTTCAATACATGCAACTGAGGCACTGACTTGCATGTATTCATTTCCCAGGGTATATGCTATGTTATGGTATGTATGTATGTATGTATGTGTGTATGTATGTATGTATGTATGTATGTATGTATGTATGTATGTATGTATGTATGTATGTGCATGTGCATGCATCATGTGCACATGCACATGTACACGTGTATGTATGTGTGTGTATGATGTATGCATGAATATGTATGTATATGGATGTATCATAGAGATATGTGTGTAAATATGTCTGCAGATATGTGTTATGTCTATATGCATATATATATATATATGTATATCCAAAGTAGCAGGTTTCGCTTGGCGAACATGGTGCAGACTTGTTTCTGTGAGCCGGTCGGTGTGTAGTAAATTGAGCAGTATGGGGTAGGGTTTAGATCGAGGTTCCTAGTAATTTCGGGAGTATGTGATCACGTCCGGCTTGGAAGGCGAGTGCATCTTGTAAGGATTTAGTTCTAGGGCTGATGGGCATTTTGATTCAGATTGGATGCACCCAGGACACATTGCACCGGACCTCGTCGTGGAACTGTGTCATCGCCTCCAGCCAGCTGTCGGGAATCCTCGGGCTCGAGGACCATGGTTTTAGGGTTCCCACGGTGATTCTACATTGTAAACAATGCATTCGATGCCCAACACCAGCATTCATGGCAAGATTCTGGCAATGCTTGCATCCATAGAGGTACAAGAAGACTTTGTGGATGCATGAGTCCAACCAAAGGTCTCCGGTGCCCATCTCTTGGAACAGCTCCCGATCTGTACGTTTTGAATCTACAGATCTTCGAGTTCGGAGATCCCCCCGTTCTGAAGAAGGTTTGAGGCACCACTCATTGTATGCCGAAAGCATGTTCTTGGCAAACTCGACCGTGTAGATCCTTAGGAGCTATGTCGAAAAAGGATTACCCATGTGCTTCAAATGGACTGCTGTTGCAGGACACTTTGCTGCCTAGCCACCCGGACTGCTTCAGGTTTGCTTTCGATCCTGTGAATCGTTTCTTGCCGGCTTTGTCCACATGCCTGCCTCAGTGGGAAAGCCAGCTGCGTTATTAAGATCTATCGTGCACTGATTATAAATGACGCCGAAGGTACGAACCGTCTTCAGCGTAGTTTTTGCAAGCCGGGTTGTCTTGGTGAGTTTGCCACGGTGTAGCATACCAATCGTGGCCATGGGGCTGTACACAGTGGTCGGTTTCGGGCTCGGGGCACCATGTAGCATCATCCAGAAATTGCATTTGAAGACCTCGGATGGTTGATGTTTGAGAAGCTTTGCACAAGCCTACCTGGAGCAAGCCTCACAATAATGCAACTCAGAAGCCACAGCAACTCGGTTGACAAGCCACTCCCATCTACTGTGGCGGAACAATAATGATCCTGTGGGCTGCTCAACCACAAACGTTGTCTGTTTGGCCAACATGACCAGTATCAGCAAAACCATCCTCAGTATGTAAAGCTTCACAAGGACACAGCATTATATAGCAATAGGCACCGATCACAAAGCCTAGGTGTAGATGCGACCCAGCTTCCTGGATATCAGAACAGTGTTCTGGGCAACCCAGCTTCTGTTCCCAAACCCATTGGCATTTATGTAAGAGCGGCCAGAAACCGATCGGGCCGGCATGCCCCATGAACCACAGTCTGGGCCAATCATATTCAAGGCATCCGGGGTCTCGTTCAGCACCGTCCATAAAGCCAGACTGGGATGCGGGATCGGTTTAGTAGCATTAATATATTCGAACAATCGAGCATGTATACAGACACTGTCCTAACATCGATCGTAGTGTATCAGACAAACCTGGTATAGAGGAGGAGCCTGAAGCCACTGTTAGACGTGAAGTCCATTTCCGGAGCCCGGAGCTTATCAAAGGATGCCACCGAATAGCCTTCAGCAGCCCTGACAGGTTTCAGATAAACACGACATCTATGTACTGCCACACATTCAAGAATTTAATATACAATGTCGGGCCACCAGGTCTTGCCCATATTGCCTTCCCCACAGAATAGGTCGAAAAGTTGGAACCGTGGCTGGAACGTCAGAGATGTCACCCACCGAAGCAAAAGGACCTCACAGCCCCAAGTCATACACAAACCAACTCTTAACAGAATCGACACCGCTGCCCCAAACATAGGCTCCGGACGGTGCCAATCAGAACCTTGCCCATGCAACTGGACTCAGGATTTGGAGTGGCATGGACGACAAATGCAAGATCACTGGCTACGGATAAGATCAAGGTACCTTCGGAGCACCCAGCTGCATCAGATTAAGAACGATGGATTGATCCATCGCAGACATCGGAACTAAAGTTCAGGCCCGGGGTTCAGGTTAGGGTTTACATTTAGGGTTCGATAGGGTTTATAAGGTCGGGTTTAGGGTTCGTTATTTAGGGTTTAGGATCGGGGGATTAGGCTTCAGGCTTTATAGGGTAATCGCCATGGGGTAGATATTTCACGGGTTTGGGCTCATAGGATTGAGGTTTCCAGAATACAGCATGAGCTTGCTTTGGGTTTGCATATGTGGCTCTATACAAGTGCCTGCTTTTATAGCCACAAAGAATCTGGTTTCAGTGTTGGAAATTTGATAATCGAACTTCGGGCGTGCGTGTGTTCTGATATGATCACTCACTGGGCAGATCTCTCCGGGAGCTTGAGTAGAAGGCACCTAAAGTCATGCAGCCGACATCATCAGAATCTGCAAAAGCAGTCAAAGATCGAGCAGGGCCAGTGGTGCAATTGGTGCATGAACTGTCAATCTGCAGGGTGATCACTGCTAGTACATGCACTCAGAAAATCACCACAGACGGCAAGAGGGGCGCACCTTGGATGCGCTCGCGAACTTGCCACCCCTGAGCTGGAAATTGAGGTTGATGTCGTGGCATCCTGGCAGTGTGTACAATATGCTTGCTAGATTGAGTATGAAGGCATGATCAATCACTTGGTACCAGGGCCGGAGCAGACATAATTGAGCGACACATTTTCCCAGAGCTGCTTTCCGTGTTCGCACAGAGATCACAGCTAAAGTTCATCGTGACATATTGTGTTCACCCCCTGATGCTTTAAGCATCATCTCTACCAGATCAAACACCACTCCAGCTGAGGTGGTATTTTGACCAACCCAAAATAACTGTAGCAACATGTAGATATTGCTTGTCCACCCCCGGGTGAAAAACCGCGGCTGCCGGCTGCTCACCAAAGACCATCCATAATAAAGCTTGTTGTGCACACATAGCATGCGATCACTCAGCATCCTGATATGCCTTAGATTTCAAACGGACAAACGGACCCCAAATACCTGGACAGGGAAGCCAACGAAACAACAACGACCCATAAAGAAAGACCGGCATAGGGATCCCCATAGTCGATCAAAATTTACATATACAGCATTGCCCAGAACTGCCAACCCCAAACAGACCCACAACATTATCTATCTCTCTCTCTGTCTCTATATGTATATATATATATATATGTGTTAATATATTACATACAGATATGTATAGATAGATATATATATATATATATAGTTAAGCCATGCATGCACTTATATACATTCACCCACTCATCCTCGGAGCCCTTGGGGCGGGGTTCCAGGTTTCGGGAGGTATACTTTACAAGGCAGGTTTTCGGTGGTTCAACGAATGGTGAGGGAATTTTTCTAGAGCGGTTAGAATTGAATGTTTAGCGGCTGGGCTGGGAGTTGCAACAGCATTACGAGACATGTAGCACTGCTCCTTCAAATGGGCAAGCATATATATATATATAGATAGATATATATATATATATATGTGTGTGTTATTGTGTGTGTATGTACATGTACTTGCATATGTGTCCACATGCATGTATAGTTGTTGACTACTCTATGTCTCTCTCTTCTCTTGCACTCTGCAGCTGCACCTGCCTACCCAACTGACCCCTATCTACAGGCAAGCAATTACAAACAAAGTCATGATACCTTCTTGGCCAGTGCAACAGCATCCTCCTTGGACTTGCCCGCTTTTGTTGCCTCGGCCTTTGCCTTGTGGTAAGCCACACTCTTTCGACTCAACCGGGCTCTTCGCTCCTGCTCCTCCGGTGTCCTCTGATTTTTTGCTTTGGGTGCTGCTTTGGGTGCTGCTTTGGGCGTTGCTTTGGGTGTTGCTTTGGGCACTGCTTTGGGCTCTGCTTTGGGCGCTGCTTTGGGCGCTGCTGTGGGAGTTGCCTTGGGTGTTGCCTTAGCCTTAGCCTTGGGGGCTGCTTTGGCTGCCGTTTCATCCTCCCGGCATCGCTTGGCCGATGCCGAGCGTGGGCTTGCAACCTCCTTGTCCACATTTTCGCCTCGCCCTCGCCCTCGCCCTCGCCCTCGCCCACGACCCCGGCCACCTGCAACACTGCACACACGACCACCACGAGAGCCGCGACCTCGACCTCGGCCGCCACGACCTCGTGCAGCTCTGGTCTTAGTACCACCAGAGCTGTCAGCATCATCATCGTGATGATCATCGTCATCCTGATCGTCGTCCTGACGATCGTCTTCATCAGGCACCTCTTCCTCGAGGATTTTCTTCTTTTCCTTGCCCCGTCGGTTCGGCTGAGCACCTGACAATTTCGTCTGCTCAGCCGGCGAGATTGCGGCTGCTTCATCCACAGGGAAGTCAGGCACCACCTCAGGGTTCATTATAAGCAGCACAGCATACATAATCATGCATCACCATTATCTGAGAAATCTGTTACTTGCTCACCTGGCCTGCTCAGACGAAGCAGGCTTCTTGCTGTGGCTCTCAGGATGCCTACGTTTGCCGTCGGAAACCACAACCTGCTTATCGGAAGCCTTTGTAGCCTTCTTGTCATCGACAATGGGGACACTGTTCTTCTTCTTCTTGGAAGCCTTGGCTTTTGGTTATTATTGGTACACATGTAGTTGCCACCCCAAGCTGCTACAGTACACCTCGACTATGTATTATTGAACCAAGAAACAGGCTTCGAATCATGACCCTCACCAGACTTGTTGTCGATGTCGACGGTCATCCCATACATCTGAGAATCCCTGCTGACTCCCTCGTCAATCTTGCTGGAAACAAGCTTCTCACTGGACTCCCCGACCCCCTTGTTGATCTCGCTGGAAACCCCAAGCTTCTCGCTGGATTCCCCGACCCCCTTGTTGATCTCGCTGGAAACCCCAAGCTTCTCCCTGGACTCCCCAACCCCCTTGTTGATCTCCGTGGAAACCCCAAGCTTCGCACTGGACTCCCCAACCTTGTTGATCTCGCTGGAAACCCCAAGGTTCTCACCGGACTTCCCAACCTTGTTGATCTCGGTGGAAACCACAAGCTTCTCACTGGACTCCACAAGTTTGGCAGCCTCCGCCTGGACACCGGCAGGGACTTAAGTCGGAACCTATAGGTACATGGGGGGGGGGGGGGGGGGCAAAA